TTCTTTTCAAGTAAGATATATGAAAATTTAGCTAATTCAAATATAAAGACTTGTTTACCTTAACCGCCTTACTACCATGACAGCAAACACAAAATCAATAGTGTAAGCAAAGGTTATAGCCGTGCGGGGCCGACCATGTGATACCCTACAACACTACAATATGTTAGGAGCCCCCTTATGTCCAAATCCATTTTGCAAGATTCTGCTTTTGAAATTATGATATAGAGTACTGCCCAGATATTACCTTTAGCATTTTGACCATGGACATTTACAAAATATTTACACACTCCGTCGTGTTGTTAGTTGTTGTGATCCATCTTACAGCTAAATATAATACAATGGTCATCCATATAATGCAATTCTCCCCTGTCCTTTACTATCTTCTCAGACGTGTCGATTGGCTTCAATTGTGTGATCAGGAAATTTTTTTCTGTTTTTCGTTAATTTTAACCCCTAAATATTTTGCGATCATCTCCAAAATGATAGAAATGACCTCTGTATCTTCAAATTTAGACTCATCTATATAATTTGCCTGTCTACGATATATGACTATATTCGTCAACGAAATCAGCATCAAAAAGCCAGAAGTTGGCCTTTTGTGTATTTCGGATATCGCCTGTAAGTAATGTTGGTATTTTTTTTTTACAAAGAAAGTAGTGGTCCATTCCACCCAATGTCCTAAACTCTAATTTAATGCGAGATTTCGTGTCCTTAGGTTTCTATTCGTGACCTTTTTAACGGCTGAAAAATCAGGGCCATTTGGTCCATTTCAACACCTAAATATATTGCGGATATCATTGAAAACAATAGGCCTAGACCTTCTGGGTCTAAAAATGTGAAAATTTTCGTGAGGATCGGACGATAATTGCAATCTGTATATAATAACCCCAACCTGTGTTGTATGGTGAAAAAATATTACAAAATAGACACTTCAATATTAAAAATCAAATTGAAAAAATCGCATGCGATAAAAAATATGAAAAATAAAAAAAAAATGTCACAAAATACTACAAAATCTATATTTTTCTTATATTTTATTCTTCTAGGCCAGGAGGGCATTCTGAATTGACAACATTTGTCAAAATCTGTCCAGCCATTCTTGAGATATAAGCAGTCTAGATAACAACCCCTTCCTTTGTATATACACATTGTATATATTTCGCTAGATATATTTACTATCGGCATCTACGTAACAGTCAGAATTGACCTCCTCCTTTTACAAATTACAAATATTCGCGGTTTAATGGAAAATTTGACTTTTTTGACTCATAAGAAGATCCATATATACTTTCCCATATGGGAAACCAATATTTCGAGGTGTTACATAATTTTTATCCCAATCAAACTTATACTTATAAATATATAGACAGAAGGAGGGGCAAACGGGAGGACATGTATAAATCTACTTAGAATGTGATTTAATAATGATAATTAAAGGTTCTATGGATCTTTCTTCTATTCTTTTGCATGCATTCTGTTATTGTCTAGTGTTCATAGGCAACACAGGAATTTTTACCTGGATAAAAAAAATCTTAGGAACAAAAGACAGAATAAGCTAATAAAAGTCAACTTAGTAAGACTTGAACGAACGAAAACTGCAATTTGGTTTAAAGGGGAGAATAAATCTTCTTGGAGCTTACCTTGCGCTTATCACACTTGTATATACTCACATATAAATAGCTTCCAATGTTTTAATCGCGATTAAATATATCGTTCTCCACTAATAAACAAACGTTGTTTTTATAAAAACAACAATAAAGCCTGACCATTTTGCAACAACACAAAATGTTACGATAAAAAGTGTTTTTGAGGTACTTCCACTACGGTTTATCTGCTTTTTCAAAGATACTCCAATAATTTTAAGTTAAAATACACACTTTTATTACAAATAAATCTTGGACTTCGAATAAAATACTCAAGCCACTTGAATGCAGGACTGCACACTTTCCTTCTCTACATTTTGACCATTTCATTGGCAAGCAAACTTTAATTTTCTTGGAATAAGTAAATAATAGTTGTAAGAGCATGCTGCATTGCTATGCCACTAGAGTAATGGCTGACTTGAAAACTTACAAAAATAGAGCTAATCAAGCAATAGAGAAAATAGCGAGCCAAGCGTGGGAAAATTGAATGTGAAATGCTATTATTTATTTTAATTCATTATGAGTACAGGAATACCTATAGTCTTAAAGGTATTCCCTAAAATAACTAGGAAAAATTTAATATAAAAGCAACGGAAGTGAAAATAATTTTAGCTTCCGAACGAAATGAAGTAGATTGATAAAATTTTACTCAAATGTATATTATGTCTGCAGGATTTTTGGTATTGAAAATGGGCGATGTAATTTAATGATTTTAGCCGGATTTTTTTTTCAAATTTTGTATTTGAAGTTCGAAATGGACACTACAGCCTATGACAGAAAATTGTCTGTTCTGGTACACGTCTTCGTATAGTCCCCGTATAATGGTACCTTTGTTGATTTTAGCGACATTATTTACCGGAATTGTTTCAAAATGGATGCTACAGCATTTGACTAGATATTGTCTGTGCAGGTCTTCGCAAAGCCCCCACATAACGATACCTCCCGATATTCGGTATTTTGATGAATTTAGCTACATTATTCACCGATTTTTTTATACCTTCAGCCATATGGCTACAGAGGGTATATATCATTTGATACGACCAAAAGTCGAAATAACGGTTTTAGAGCCTATGTCTGTTTGGACCAAATCCGTTTCAGAACATTTGGAGTCGATCTAGCGATGTCCGTCGGTCTGTCTGGCTGGTGCGCACGATAACTCTCTAAGGGAGCATCCGATTTGGTCCAAACTTGGTACATCGTAATATTTTTCTCAAACATAGATCGAGTTCGGAGATGGGATATATCGATCCACTCCTTCTGGTAGCTCCTCCAAAAACGTCGAAATTTTCAAAAAATATATTTTTTGCACAGAAAGAGAAACAATAATCCGATTTTGCTCCAACTTTGCAAATTCTAATATTTGCGTTAAAGCTAGGTCAGGTGTGAAAATGGACAATGTCGGTCCAATCATCAAGATACGAAATGGCCCATTCCTTCGGAATGTACTTCATAAGGGGTTAAACATTTGAATAATTATCAAAATATTTTTAAATAATCGAATATTGGCTGAGGGTGTACATCTGTCGGCAAAACCGCCCGATACTTTTTTATTTGTTTTTTTATACCCTCCACCTTACATAGTATGGAGGGTATATTAGTTCGTCATTTGAACTTACTGTTTTTTTACTTGTTCTTTTCTTTTACAGCTGTTTTGTTTTCTAATTGGAAGAAGACATTAAAATGTACGAACTGAATGTTTCTGGAACTTATGGAGTAAAACAAAGAGAAGGAACCACAAGGGTATGGAAGAAGAAAGCAGTAAATCATTTTTCTATAAAAATTTAATTTGTCATTAAATAAAATAAACATTGAAGCGAACGATGTCGATTGGATGGAGATTTGATGATGGTAGTCGCTGTAACAATATTTTTACAAGCATAAGCTTTGTTCCCTGGTTCTAATACTGATGTTCATGCCACTACAGTTCTAGCACCAACAGATGTAGTGGCTGAACATGTTGTTTTTTTGTATTTGCAATGTAGTAAATGTTCAAAACCAATGGCTATTGTAATGGCAAATAATAAAAATGAGGGTAATAATGATAAAGATGATGATAGTCATGACTTTTATTAAATCTGCGAGACTAAGGAAATCCTTCAAGGATATGAAGCGTTCTTTTCTCTGTTAATTATTTCCCGACATCATCAGTTGATTGGTTGGTTGCCATGGTAATCAGCCAAAATTTGTTTGTGTTCGTTGATGATATTCCGGTCAATTCAAATGTTTTAAGTGTGGGATTAAAAAAAGGATTTATGACGTTGCACAATCGAGCAAAAAGACAAACGCGAAAATATTTACTTAAATATTTAGTGATGAACGATTAATTAGTTAAGCATTAAAAGTAACTAATTGACCTTGAAAGCCAATAATAAGAGGTTTAATAAGAGACAATATTGCGAACAACTATGCGATTGAAATTTTCGTCGATCACCGTTGTGTGGTTATTTAGGCAATTTAAAATATTTTGATATACTTTATATCCTACATACTTTAATAAGATTGAGCTATGGAGTATTATAGTAATTAGGTAGAAGGTATACAAGATTTGATCAAAGTATTTAGTGAATTCCGAATTATATATTTAAGAAATAACTGAAACAAATAATCTTGGACTGATCTCTATGAAATTTTACTAAGGTAGTTTCAGGTTGTGTATGATATCGTGTGCCGAATATCATAGTTCTATACTGTCTATTACGGCCTCAGAAATATTACGGCCTCAATATCAATTCGAAAGGAAAGTATATATGGGAAGCATATTTATTTTACGAATTTGATATATTTGCATTTTTTATTGGATAATAAATGTGGCCTGTGCTTTTTTCAAATTCATTATTCGATTTAAAAAGTAATTCTGTGTCGATGATAAACCGGACCTATCAGGCATGTCACAGAATGTAAAATCGTTCAAGAGTGAAAACGAAAACGGTTTTAGCTTCTCTAAAAAACGGAAAACGCAAAAATTTTGCGTTTTGATATCACTTTCAAAAATCAGGGTGAAATTGAAATGTTTAGTGATTTTAACGTAAAAAATAAACAGAAGGCACATACATTTAACAGAAAATATTGTATTAACCAAATTCTCTTAGAATGAATTTGTTTTACACAAAATCTATTATTTTTCTAATCCATGATGAAAACGCAAAAAAATATGCAGAAATGAACGGCAGACTTGTATTGTTGAATTATTGACATATGTGTTGAAGAAGAAGGTGTAGAAATGTACAACTGACAGACCAAAAAGCAAGAAAGGGGAAAAACAAAAAAACAATTAATTGTTTGGTTTGAGACAGAGCGCTTCAGTCAATCGGGCAAAAATGTAAGTATTTACATACATATTTCTAAATTTTCGTCAAAAACTGTTTATTTAATTTATTTTATACTTTAGGGGCAAACACCGAAACGTTAAACAGGACAAAATTTTTATCAATTTTATGGATAAACATCACGATATTGCCAGGGGCTATGTAAAAGGTGATAAGGTTGTTGTTGATTCTCTATGGACGGAATTGACAGCTTTGCTGAATAGCCAAAAACCTAAGCGTTGTTGCAAGCTGGATAATAGCCGGTATATTGGAACGTTTGAGGTGGGGAGAAATTTTTTCCAAAACTAAAACAAAAGCTTCTTTATTTAGCCGATAATAAGTTATAAATCTGTAGAAATTAATTATTATTAAAATAAATTTGAAAATAACTCATTGCTGGTGGATCCTTACTCTGCATTTGAGTGAGATAAAGGATCTGATGCGTTCCTCAATGTCCGGCGACGAATTTTTTCAGTAGACCGCTGATTTATTTCTTCATCCATTACAGCAAGTATTGAAGCCCCTTTCATTTTTTACTTTTGGTGTTTATATTATAAAAAACAATTTAAACTCCTTTTTTAATTGTCAATAATTTGTTTACGACTTTTTTTTTTCATGGAGTTACCATATTTTTATTTCAAAAATGTGAAATGATTTTTTTTCCGGATTAGTCAAAACGTACGAGTGCTGAAGAAGCAGAAGCAAATCGTAACGATTTGAAAAGGTGAAATAAATCGATTTCGTAAAACTTTTAATAACTTTTTTTCTGGGAAATTCTCATCAAAATGCTTTTGTACGCTTGTAAACAATATAATGTGCTGTCACTAGAATAATTTTAACAGCTGTCGGACAGGTGGCTTAGAAATGACAGCAGTCTGAAGTTGGTTGCAGTTTTTTCATCTCACCCTGTATACATGTTTTCATCGATTTCATATTCATTCTTGTCCCATGTAAATTTTACTATGCTATACTATACGTTGATGGATATCATTAAATACAAAGCTTACTTCTTCTCCATTACTCAACATCACCATAATAGTGGTGAAATGCAATCAAAGAGTATAAGAGAAAAGCATTTTTAAAACCTTGTCAGCATCAAACCAGTAAAGGAAGTCTTAAAGTCGTGAGGGCCGACTTTATGATATCCTACACCACTTTGCATATTTAGTAGAGCTTTACATAACTAATCAAAGTTATGTAAAATGGGGAATTTGTAAGAACTAAATCATACCAATTATGAATATGTTTATAATTTAAAGTCCAAAGGAACTAATATATGAGAAGAATATCCTCCTCGGAATCGATTTCTACTAAATTTGCCGGGGCATTTGTGCCTTTTCAATTCGGCTATCTAACGAACTTGACATACCTGCTGCAAAATGTTAGCTTCTATCTTAATTCGTTCAAAATATTTCAACAGACAACCAGATGTACGACCGGACATTGGTAAAACGACTTGGAATTTCACGCCTATTAAGAACCTTGAATTCCTCTTTAGCAAAAAACAAGTTAAAAAGCACTAAGTTCGGCCGTGCCGAACTTTTAATACCCTCCACCATTTGCAACGAATTTGGAAATTTTTAAAAAATAAAATCCTTAAAACATTCTGTTAAAATTTTAAAAATACCGAATATAGCCGTTATATTGGGGTCTATACGACGTGGACATACATAGGCATTGTTTGTCATAAGCGGTGAATAATGTAGCTATAATCACCAAAATATCGTATATAAGGAGGTGCCGTTAAATTGGAGCTGTGCAAAGACCTGGACCAGCATAGACAATTTTTTGTCACAGGCTGTAGCATCCATTACGAACTTCAAATACCACATTTCAAACAATTTCGGTGGGTATTGTACCTAAAATCGTCAAAATACCGAATATGGGGAGGTACTGATATATGGGGCCTATACGAAGACCTGGACTCGCACAGACAATTTTCTGTCACAGACTGTAGTATTCATTACGAACTTCAAACACCAATTTCGAAACAATTCCGGTGACTAATGTCGCTAAAATCATCAAAATACCGAATATAGGGAGGTACTGATATGTGGGGGCTATACGAAGACGTGGACCTGCACAGACAATTTTCTGTCTTAGGGTGTAGTATCCATTTTGAGCTTCAAGTACCAAATTTGAAACAATTCCCGTGAATAATGTCGCTAAAATCATCAAAATACCGAATATAGGGAGGTACTGATATATGGGGGCTATACGAAGACATGGACTTGCACAGACAATTTTCTATCTTAGACTGTAGTATTCATTACGAACTTCAAATACCAATTTTCAAACAATTCCGGTGAATAATGTCACTAAAATCGTGAAAATACCGAATATAGGGAGGTACTGATATATGGGGGCTATACGAAGACGTGGACCTGCACTGACAATTTTCTGTCTTAGGGTGTAGTATCCATTTTGAACTTCAAATACCAAATTTGAAACAATGCCAGTGAAAAATGTCGTTAAAATCATCAAAATACCGAATATAGGGAGGTACCGTTATATGTGGGCTATATGAAAACGTGGACCTACATGACCCATTTGCGAACTTAACCTGCCTACTGGAAAAATAAACATGTGTGCAAAATTTTAGCCATCTATCTTAATTCATTCGAAAGATAGCGTGATTACAACAGACAGACAGACGGACAGACAGACAGACAGACGGACATCGCTAAATCGACATAGAATTTTACGCAGATCAAGAATATATATACTTTGTTGGGCCTGACATGAGTATTTCGAGGAGTTACAAACGGAATGACAAAGTTAATATACCCTCCATAGTACGGTGGAGGGTATAAAAAATTATAAGCTACCTTCAAAAATTGTATCTCCAACTGTTTTAAAGTAAAATATTTTATAGACAGGAAACAATACCATCATGATACAATCTGAAGGTTGACACCACTTGGATTCACTGCTATATTGCGATATCATTACAATAGAGTTGGACATGTTAATCTATTTTTACTATGACTCACAGTTCCACAGGAAAAAGTCTATGGAACAATATTTTGAGTCCAAATTTTCGCTTCAGAAACATTTTATTTGCCATCCTGATCAATAATTGTATTTGCCTCTGCTGCAAACAACAGCACTTCTACATTTTTCGCATTAATTATATTTTCAACATTCATTTTGTCTTGTATTTTTACCATTCTATATTTTTGCCATTGTGCATATAAAAATTAACTCACACACAGCAAATCGTTTATCGATATTCCTAACTATTCAATTCATTCGATTTTCCGTTTAGTTTACAAAATCAACCATCATCACAATATAGGTGGCGAAATGCAATCTAAGAGTGCATGTGGAATGCATCTTTAAAAGCAGTGAGCCAATAAAAAGGCTTAGTGAAATCATAACCCCTGGATCTCTGAAAATCGCATTACATTTAAAACGTTTAAAAAATTGAATATTGATCTGAAAAGCAACAATTTTTGCTACGCACATCTCTCACGAATTACATAAAAACCCCTTTTTATCACTACATTGCCATCATTGAGAGTTCGTTGAGTGCAATTTGAAAACATACCATGCCAGGTGCTCCGGCGGAAGGACTTTTATACTTTACATAAGTTTTGGCCTTTGCCGAAAATTCGGTACGTGTTTCTGGCAAGTGATTTCCTTTCTTCCCCAGCCTGGAATAAAACGTGCCAAATGTTGAGGAAAAAGGGGTGGTACAGGCTACAGAAATGAATTGTATTTGGCTTTTTAGTATTGGCTGCTGAAAGGTAAAAATATTTTAAATGTACGTCACTTGGTCAGGACACGCAAATTTTATAACTGATTATGTTCCCAATTCCGGGGAACAATGTGCAGCATCAAAAATGGGGCTTTACACAGGTTATTTATATTTCGTATTTCTCTTTTCATACCATTCCTTGGTGTTAAATCCAATTTACGTTATAAAATTTTATTACATAGCTCCACAGCTAATAATAATTGACACATCTAATGGGTTTCATGGAAATGTCGAAATAGTTTGTGCTCCTCAAAAATCCGACAAGGACGTTGTTGCAGAAAATATTTACAGAATAAAAAGATTCAAATGTAAGCCATTTTTTGTAAAATAAAAATATAATAACATTTCACATTCAGAACAAGTGGGATTACATTGAAAAGGTCAACGTTTTGTGGAAAGCAAAATGAATATATAGTTATTTGCGTAGGTTTTAATATGTGATTTAGATGCGGAATTATATTTATGGTTTAAATACGTCAATTATTTTGAATGTAGCGAAGGTCATACGTCAACTTCAGCTGGTCGAAAATGTTTATTTTCTTCATTCTTACGTTTACAAAGAATGTTCAAAATTAGCCAAATTAAGATGGATAGAGTCTTAGATGTGGGGCCATTGAAATATAGTTGGAAAAGGGTACTTCTAGAACATTTTATCGTCTTATTATATTGTGGCCAATCTTTCGGGGATTACAGCTCTGTCATTACAATTTACTTAATGAGTACAGACTTCTGCAGATAATGTCCTATGTATGAGTATGTAAAACGTCAAATACGAGTATACCCGTACAAAAAAATAAATAAATAAAATATAAATCTTACACAAACAAAAACACCTCTTTTGAACGGATTTTAAGATAGAAATATTGAGGTCTTAAATCTTTAAATGATCATAGTCGCAATAGGGCGAATTTAGGTGAAAACCACCGAGACCACGCTGCGGTGTGAAAATTTGGTTAATTTTTCTTGTGTTCTATAACATTGCTTAAATTTATTTAACTATTGGCTTTTGATATATACCTACATCTTGTAGGAGTCATTAAATATTCTTTTCCATTAATAAAGTTCTTATGCACTTATTTTTCTAAAATTTTATATAAATTGTCTCATTTGCATTCACGATAATATTCTTATTTCAATTCTTAACTTATAATCGTAAAGTTTTTTTAATCAACTAATATATATTTTCAAATTTTCCAACGATTATCATAATATCTTTACTCAACATGCACCTATCAATAAAACCCATCGGAAGTGTATGATTGTTAAAGTTGCTGAACAATTTCCATTTACTATGAGTCAGAAGGAAGTATTTTAGCATCGCATAATTTTCACAATTTTATGCATCATAAATATGACTTTGAATCGTGCCCGAATGCTACACACAAAGAGGAGCAACAAATAGCCGGACATTCAATAACAATAACAAAAACAATAATGAATATAAAATTTTTTATCAATTTCAAGAAACACAATACATTTTTGAAAATAGTATATTTTTAAACTTGAAACTTAAGGTTAAATAAATGTTGATTAGTTGGCATTTGACCCGCCACAATTAAAAGCATATCATCAATCGAATATAAAATGCCGTTCATCGACGTATTTGTATTTTTTTTTTTTCATTAACAACATCTCCATTTACCTTTTTTAAGTTTATAATTTTTTTTACAACTTTCATTGCATAGTTACTGCCTATTTAAGCCCCTTCATTTTTTATTGCATGCTCTGATTTGTATTATTGTTTGTTTTATTCCCTATCATTCGTTATAGATTTTTTCTTACATCTTCTTCTATATATATAAAAATCAATTGTTGTTTGTTGGTAACGGAATCAGTTAAAAACGGCTGGACCGATTTGCATAATCTTTTGTACAAACGTTCGTTATACCCCGAGTTAGGTTTTTAAAGAAAAAAAGATTGACCACGACTACT